TTTTTACGATTTTACCTGGATCACTTGACCCACCTTGTTTTTAGCTGTCTCCGCCACTGCCAGACTATGTTGTGGGGAAAAATAAATAAAAAAACTACACTCCAAATGTTTGTAGTAAGTCTACTACATGTTAATTTGATGTCATCTTCCATAGGGTATCTTCACATTGATATATTCAAATTATGTGTAGAGAGACTCCAATTTAGCCTCCTCCTAATCGGAAAGACAGGAAAAATATAAAAACGTGATATATATGGGCCAAAAGCCTACAATAATGGGCTTCTCGGATCCTATATTCGATCCGGCCCTTAGATGGTCGCTACATTGTCAACTCAAATAAGTCTCTTACGACACAGACACAAGCACAAGCAGGCATCGAACACAAGTAAACAAAACTGATATTGCCTTGTTGGATCCGATGGCTCCTTCGAGCGAGACAGCGACCGTACGAGTCCTTTGCCCAAAGCTGGTTCTCTCTGCGAACCAACCCGGAACTCTGCAATGGCTCATTGGTTCCCCATTTTTCCCGCCTTTCACTGTCGTCTCCACCTTCCGATGTGTTCATCAGTCTCCTGATTTCGAGCAAGAATCTGGTAAGTAGAAGCCGTTTTCTAACACTGGTTTTGGGTTTAGCTCATATGGATAATTGGAATCGGATGTTCTGTGTTCAATTGCATGATTCCTGTTTTTTTATTTCGAAGGTTGAATGTACTTTTTAGTGGATCAAATGAGGAATTAAGATATCGAGTAGCTAAATTTCCAATTTTTCGTCTTAGTCGTTTGTTATATAAGCCAATCTTCAAGCTTTTATTTAATAATCTTTATTTTGGTCATTTCATTGTTCAAAAAACTAGTCATCTTGGTGGGTTTGTATGAGTTTCTGTGTGCATTGTTTGATTCACAGGCTTATTAGTAAGCCTTTTGTTGAATCCTTCTATACAATGAAGCTGAAATTAATCGTCTTGTGATCAAACCATTCAGATGATCTTCGGAAGTTGTTACCAAAAGGTTTTGAAGTCATTGGAGCTCTGATAATTGGAGATTCTGATGCTGAGAAAAGCGCTCTTGAGGCGGTCAAAGCAGCTCGCAGACTACGGAAGCATTTATCTGAAGGTGGAGAGTTAGATGATGAAAAGATAGTTGGTGCTAGTTGCGATGCAAGAACCGGTACCATTCAATTTTTCATCTCCAAAACCGAGAACTCAACAAAACTAGAGCCTGTTGCTTCTGTTGTGTATGAGGACAAGTCTGGAAAGTATTTATGGGAGAATGGCTGCCTGCTTCACTGTGAGCTTCCGATCAAGTTGCCATTTTATTTCCCGGCAAGCTCACCCTCGGGTATGATCTCAATGTCTTTTCTCTTTCTTTTGGTATCTTTTTGGTTCAGTTTTTGGCCTTATTTCGTTTTGTCTCAAGTTTAGTGATATCTTTTTTTAACAGATTCGAAGGAGATGTTTTCAGATGCAATTGATTCAGTTATTACTCAGTTTAAAGAACCAAATGTTGTATACATAGCCGAGACCTTGAAGAAAGCTTCTGGAGATGTTCCAAAGCCAGTCGTCCTCCGTGGTAAAGATTTTGGATTTGGTGCTGATGCGTCAAACATTAACCGTCTTCCTGCTGCTGAACAAGGATCTGACGTTAAGATGTTATTATGTTCACATCTGTGTATGAACAGCAAAACTGCTGCGGTAGTAAACTCAGCAGAGGTAAGTAAAACGGAGAATTTTTCTTACTTGGTATCGCCTGTTCTTGTTGCTACCACTTGGCCTTATTTTTGTTTCTCCTCCGCTGAAATTTCTTCTTCTTAGAATGCAGATAAAATCCACGTATCTGTCCTGCTTAATAGATCTGAAAAATCTCCAGCATCTGGTGCCCCTGTTGCAGAATATTTTCCAGGTAATGACTGGGAAATATTTGATTATTTTATCAACCATTTATATCAAGGCACTAAGAATACGCTGGTGCCCTGTTTCTCATATTCTTAAATTGTTAATTTTCTCACAGCTATGGAAGAAGCAAGGCTCATTGTTGTTGATTTGAGTCTTGATGTACTTACTTATGCACCCAAGGAACTTCCACTTATGCACGCGGTCTCAAATTTAGTTATCCCTGCTTTGGTTGATCAGCTACATTCCCTGAAGAAGATTATCTTACCATACCTCTTGATGGAACATCCTAAGGTAGAGATACCTTTTTTATTTATTAAACAGAATTCTATCCCAAGAAATCCCTCCCATGGTGATATGAGATATTGTTTATTTATCATATCTTTTCTTATTATCTCAAGAATTGCCTTGCTCTTACAGTTGCATATATATCATTTCAATCCACCCGGGGTATTACATCCAATAACAACTATATACGAGCTTAATTACGGGGAGACGGAAATGAAACAAGGTAACTATGGTAATTGTCTTAAAAGGGGGTTATGCAAGATTGAGAAACTAAACCCTATTTTTCACAGTTCAAGAGTAACGAATCCTATGTTTAAATTATTCTTTTACCAAACTTATCATTCTGCAATGTCTTTGAACTAGCACATTCACACAAATTTTTTTCATCATCAAAACTTAAATTGTAGCCTCAACACTCTTGAAATGGTATTATTATATTTGATATATGTGGATCTTGCTCTTGACTGTCTTTGCAGTCGATGTTAGGAAATCTCTGCACTTGAGGCTTGGTCTGCCACTTGATCGTCCGCTTCTAAGAACTGCTAATGCTTTGGATTTGTCTGTGAATGATGGCTCAAGGAGTAACATAAAGAAAAGAGGTAGACAGATCTTCCTAGTTTCTTATTTTTCTCTTTGTGTCTTAATATTTTGCAATGACTTTAATTGTTAAGCTACGTGGGTACTGCCAGGTTCCACCTTGCTCAAAGATGTGCATATTGGAATCCCAAGCAGCGGAGGTTAGCACTATTTATGTCATTGCTTTTTCCGCTCATCCTTTTTTTTCCTACTTATTCGTTTTATTAAAGTGTTTAATGCAGTTTCGGAGGGTGTGGCATCTCTAATCCAAGGTTCTTACGAGTATTATCATTATCTTCAGGATGGCTTTGATGACTCGGTATATCACTTCTCATTCTTTCATGGTTTCAAAACACTGTCAATGCAATAACCTGATGATGTGGGAAATGAAAGAAACCGAAAGCAGAAATTATGGAGTAAATCGCTCTGTAATATTTTTCTGGAATCTTTTAAAGTCCTTTCACCGGAATTATAGTTCCTAAATGATTACTGGCACAATATCTGGTTACGCTTCAAGTTTTGGTGTTTCATTGTAGAAAGTTTGAAATAGTGTCTCTACTTCTAATACCAACTTTCTCTTGTTGTGTCAGGGATGGGGTTGTGCTTACCGGTCATTGCAAACAATCATCTCGTGGTTCAGGCTTCAACACTATACATCCATTTCTGTACCTCCACATAGGTATGAAACAGTTTCTCCTGAATAAAACTCAGAAATTCCTCTTCATCTCTTGATCTGCCAAGTACCACTTTTTTGGATTTTCAGGGAAATCCAGCAAACACTCGTGGAAATAGGTGACAAGGATCCTTCATTTACAGGATCACGCGAGTGGATTGGTGCCATAGAGTTGAGTTTTGTGCTGGACAAACTTCTTGGTGTAAGTCTTCTTTCTCTAAATTTCCTTGTACGAATATATTCTGACAAGTGAACCATCTTAACGCAAGATCCAATAGTAGAGTTTTCAAAATTAACTCATAATTGCAGCCGTAAAAGCTAAGCTTTAGATAAAAGAACATGCCAGAAACGATACACTCCAACAACATATATTATTGACGTAATAAGAAACCTCTTGGGTCTTATTTTTACAGGTAAGTTGCAAAATCATGAACTTCAGATCTGGATCGGAGCTCCCAGAGAAATGCCGTGAGTTAGCTATGCACTTTGAGACCCAAGGAACTCCAATAATGATTGGTAAAGTCAAGCAAAATCACTCTTATACATTAGATTTTACACAAGCTTCTCGTTTTAGAATAAAAACAAAAGCACTAATGCGAATAGCCTAGATAGTCTGTATACGAAGAGCATAACTACTGAAGCTTAAATCCTATATTTAAAAGATAACTGGACTAAAGAAGCTAAAACCTCTAAGACGAATCTGATAAGATCCAAAACTAGTGAACTCCTTCAGTAATAAAACCACCTGCTCTAACATCACAAAGTTTTGTCTTTGTGTATATTGTAATGGGAATGGATTTTTCAGGAGGTGGTGTTCTTGCATACACGCTTTTGGGAGTGGATTACGACGAAGGAAGTGGGGATTGCGCATTCCTGATCCTGGATCCACATTATACAGGAAGTGAAGATCACAAGAAGATCGTCAATGGTGGATGGTGTGGATGGAAAAAAGCTGTTGATAGCAAAGGGAAGAGCTTCTTCTTGCACAATAAGTTTTACAATCTTCTTCTTCCTCAGCGTCCTAACATGGTTTGATTTTCATTTTTTTAAAACATATTCACAACAATTACTTTTTGTTTTTATCACAGATTCACTATTTTATAGCGTACTCTGGTCTCCTGATAGTCTATAAATGAAACTTTAGTTCAAATTTCTGTTGTAATTCTTAGTAAACCATCAGTTATTCTAAATCCACCAATTTTTATTCTAATGTTATGGAGTTTTTAAGAAATTAATTTAGGTGAAATTTGTTTCGGAGATTGAATCAATGCATTATAAAAAAAAAATATATTTTAACTTAATAAATGATTTTGAAATTTCATTGTAATTGTTTGAAAAAAATATTTTTTTAATTAATTTTAATTAAAGATGATTTTTTCTGTATGAATAAATAAGTTGATTGAAAAGATAGAATCTCAAGTATAAATTGGAAAGAAGTTATACATCATAGTCACCAAAAAAAAGTTATGTAACATGGAAATTATTTCTTATTTTTCTAGATTTATTTGAAGTTCAACAAAGATCATTTAAGCAATACACTACCATTATGTTATATTACAAGAAGTTAAACAAAATTAAAAATGCAAGGGGTGTCCTCTGAGAAAAGGCATGGGTTGGCCTCTGAAAAAAGGTGGCGGCGGTACATAGCATCTTGTCATCATCACACGGCGACTATGCAGCAGCTGAGCACTATTTGGACACATCATCATAATCTCTTGCAAAAAACGTTCTCCTGAGACGACTCTGTAGCCGAGTCCATAAACCAACCCTTCTGATTCTTGTACGTTGTGACAGATCCGAGCCATCTTAGCAAAAACCCTAGCTGTTAGTTCGCTGTCTGAACCCGCGTGGTGTGCAGTCCCCACACAGCTAACTCCCAGTTCGTGAGCTAAACTCTGCAAAACCGAGCCAGCTGCTTAGTCCTTGGTATCGACCCGCCATTACTTTCAAATCGTAAACAGAGAGTTCTCGCCACCGCGTTCGAGAATCCTTCTGAAGTTGCCGGCAAAGATTCTCCTCCGGTGATGCACTTGATAAGCGATGTCCAAGGATCCGTGAAAAGTGACCCAAGTAACATTCTTGGTCCGTTCAGAATCCGACCAAACTCCAAGAAAAAACTCTCGATGCATATTCCTTGCGCTCTAATTTTAGACCGTTGCGGTTTAGTAAGTCGATACATTTCTCGTTTCTCGCATCGTCGATGTTTCCAAAATCTGAGAAATTAATTTTTCAAGTGTCCCTGATTCTTCCGTAGCTGTCGAACAGAATAAGACCTAATCAGTTTCGTCTTGTCGACATTGAATTTCATATCGTCGTAGCGTCTCTTTTCTGTTGCGTCTTTGGAAGTTCCCTCAACGAACCTGGAAACTCTGTATCAATTGCAATGAAACAGTAATATTTTAGACAATCAAACATCAGATTCATCTTTTTGCCCTGATTCCAAGTCCATATTTCGCGACATTTTTTTTTCTTTGTTGCAGTCGTGAGTATCAATAAGCGAGTGAACTTCGGTAACGAGAGAGAAGAAGAAAGCTTATAACGAGAAAAAGAAAGATTAGTAGGTGTCAAGAGAGTCTTGCCTCCCAAGTTTTATAGAAGTAGTCTGGCCTGGAATTTCTTTTTTTTGTATTAACCTAATTGTTTTATTATTAATAAACTACAAATGACCACACGGTCAAATTTTCAGGTTTTTCGAACAAAAATGTTTCCCGTAAAGTTAAATCTAATATGAACTCATGTGATAAATTTTCTTATTGTCCACATTCGATTTTCAATCAGTTATATATTTATTTTTTCTTTTAAAAGAGATGAATTGATTTTTAATTTCGTTTTCCAACTATATAGTTTTCCATTCGTTTATATGTATTATTAATCGATCAACAGTCCTAATAATAAAAGTTTCCTTTTGATAAAAAATGAAAATATTTTTGAATCTATGTTATTTTGCAATCATCCATTCACCTAATCATATGTAAACTTATTCGTATCATTTATAAAAATCGGAAGTTAAATCCATTGTAAAATAATTTCACCGTCCATAAGAATTACTTTGTAGCCTTTGCAAGCATAAAATATCTATAAGAAATTTAACTTAGTCTTTGAAAATAGAAATCACGCTGGTCAAAAAAAATAGAAATCGACTCAAACAGAAACTTCTTCTCTACTCTCACTTACCTCTTTTTCCCTAACCAAAAGGAATTTGATGATCTTATCAGTCACACCTTCCACAAAAGGGTAAAACCAACAACAAACATCAACCTTAACTGCAATGTGATAACAAAAAAAGAGTGACAAAGCTAATAACAATTATATCGGGGTCAATATATTATTATAAGTTGTTTATTTTCTGAATATTATTTGTAATACATATCAAAATGTTATAATTTTATCATTATACATTTTAAAATTATGCTAAAAACACTTATAAGTAGTGGATTAACGATTTATAGGTTTTTTTAATGTGCACGGTTAGTTCATTATAGTATTATATATATATAGTGTTTTCTATATATAGAGTTATTGGTTGTATAAGTTAAAATCAAAGGATCAGATTTGAAAAAATAGTTTATTTAAAATTGAAGGTATATGAATTATCATAATCCGTTTTATTATAGTATTTTTTAACATTTTTGGTCTGTTTCAGAATTCGACCAAATTCTGAGAAAAAACCCTCGATGCAGATTTTTTGCGCTCTAATTTTTTCGATATCTAGACCGTTGCGTTTTAGGAAGTCAATGGATTTCTCGTTTCTTGCGTCGTCGATGTCTCCAAAATCTGAGAAATTAATTTCCCAAGTGCCCCCGATTCTTCCGTAGCTGTCGAACAGAGTGAAACCTAACTGGATCAGTTTCGTCTTGTTTACACTGAATCTCATATCATCATAGCGTTATTCTTCTGTAACGTTTCTCTTCCGTAGCGTCTCTCTTCCGTAGCGTTTCTCTTCCATAGTGTCTTTAGATGTTTCCCTCAAGGAAACTGGAAACTGGAAACTCTGTATCAATTGCAATGAAACGATGATGTTTTAGACAATCAAACAACAGATTCATCTCTTTGTTTCGATTCCAACTTCATATTTCACGACACATTTCTACAATCATTTTTTTTGTTTTTGTTTACAATAAGTGAGAATAAGCGAGAGAATTGTAAGTCTATGACGAGAGAAATAACATATAGCTTTATAACTTCAGTATTGAGAGGAAAAGGAAAATATCATACAAAAAAGTAAATATTAGAGAGTCTTGCCTCCTAAGTTTTGTAGTAGTAGTTTTTGTTTATTTTCTCGACAACAAAAAAAAATTACCAAACGGTCAAATTTTCAAGTAATTCGACCAAAACTATTCGGCCACGATAAAAAAAAAAAAAATGTTGAATCAAATATGATATAATGTGAAAAAAATTTTCATTATCCAATTTCGATTCTTCATCAGTTTTATATTTTCTTTTTTTATTTTAAAAAGATAAATTTAGTTTTAATTTCTCGAATATATAAAAGTCAAAGGATTTTAACTTCATTCAATTTAAATTTGGTTTTCCAATGATGCCACAAAAAAAAAATTGATTAATTTTCGATTCGGTTTATATATATTAATTGATCAACACTCCTAAGTCCTAATTCCTAGTCGCCTTTTGATTAAAAAAAAAAGTTTTGAATCCATTATAAAAATAAATCGTCAATCATTAATACAAGTAATTACTCATTCATAGAAAATAGAATCCACACTAACTCAATCAGAAACTTCTCCTCTACTCTCACTTACTTCTTCTTCCCAACCAAAATGGACTTGATGATCTTATCTGTCATACCTTCCACAAAAGGTAACAAATGTCCTGATCCAGAAACTTCATGGTAACGAATCCATGGAAGCTTTGATGCAATATAACGCTGAATCTTCACCGGCACAAGCTTATCCTCGTCGCCATTCCAAAGGTGAACAGAGCCATTGTTGTTTGGGAACGGATCTTGAAGCTCTAACGGATCGAATTCCCAGCTTGAAAATCCAACATTCAAATCTCGGTGTAAGCTTTCGAATTCACCCTGTTGCCTTGTGTATGCCTGAAGAAACAAAGACTCACTCAACACATCAAAACATTTTCTTGAGAAGTGTTGCAGGAAGTATCAAACTTATGATAATGGAAACCGAACCAAACTGCACAAGAATCTTGCAAACCAAAAACTAAACATTGAAAACCAAAAACATTTCAAACCAAACATCTATATAAAAGTGCTTGTACCCGATTTGGATTGACGAATCCGAGCTTAGACAAGACCTCCATGTCCTGACGGGAGAATATCACGAGGTTACCTGCGATCACATTGGAGATCGGGAACCATTTCTGAGTGTTCCACCAATACGTAAGCCAAGGAGCATAGTGAGCTACTCGAAGAGCCCATTGATCTGCAGGTAACATTACAGAGAAAACTTCTCTTGTTATGTCCTCCGGCAAGTTTCTCCACCAATAGTTAATCGCCGGTGCCACCAGCGCCACTCCTGCTAACCTTTTAACAGAGAGTCCATAACCAAAACACAACAAAAAATGCCTTCACATCCCAACTTAGCTATTGTGTCAAGATCAAAGTTAAAACCTTTTCCAAGATATGGACTCAAAACTAAGAATCAATTACATCAAACACATCAACTACAGTACCTGTGAGGAATGTACTTAAGGCAAGCCCATGTGATTTCACCACCCATGGAGAGACCAAAGACATAGAAGTTAGGTCCTAATCCTAACCCATCAGCCAGTTCTTCTATATCCAATGCTATGCTTCTCGGTGACCGATTCGGATCCGGATCACTCTCTCCATAACCAGGACGGTCAAAAGACACTGTGTATATCCTCAGTTCCTCCACAAGAGCCTAAAATTATACACAAAGATACCCTTTTTTATAACTCTTTTAACTTCACCAAAGACAGAAGCTTTGAAAGTTTTCTAACAGCTTTTAAGATTTAGTAAAAAGGTTTAAGCTTTTCACATGCCATAGATGATTCGACTAATGGGTAATGGCCGGAAAACTTACCGGCGATAAGAAATGGGGGAAAGGCGAGTCGTGCATACAAGAATCGAAGCCGTGGATATATATGATCTTGAATTTGGCTTCGTCTCTAGGAAATCCAACTTCCTTGTAAGCCAGATGTCTCCCGTCTCTCAATTTGATCCTCGGAGCTGTCACGGCGGCTCCGCCGGGAGAGCCGACGATTTTCGGCGGTGGTGGTTGGATTGATTGATAAACCCATGCCAAAGCTCCGACGAAGGATACCAGGAGAATTGTCTTGACGAAACCTGCATAATCGAATTAGCAAAGTCTTCTAAGAACATTTCCAGATTACAGAATTTGGGAATGCTTGGTGTGAACTAAATCCTCTGTGAAGATTATTTGATAAATTTATACAAAAGCGGATAATTAATCTATCAATAAAAACATTTATTATAGTTTTAACCAAAAATATGGTAGTATTTACTTCAAGATTTAAGTTGGTGTGGTGTACCAGTAAACCGTATCAGCTTTTTTAGTTTAACTAAATTATCTGAATCGAAACCGAAAAGAACTCTGTTTACATTACAGTCAATACTCAAATTATTAAATTTATATTTTTTTCTCTGAATAAATCTGATCAAAATATTCTTAACTCCCACCCAATAAAAATCTTGAAAATTTTGTCAGTTCAGTAATTGTAAATAAATGTTTTTTTTTTGTCAAAAAATATAAAAGAATGGCAAGAAAAGAAACACTTGAAGGGAGACCTCTCCTTCCAGATTCCACATATATTATCAGCAATCTGTTTAACCCAAGATAGAGTCTCAGATTTTAGTGCACAAGTGAGAAACTGAGGAGGACCATAAACAAGAACATGATTAGATGTTAGTGCACTAGTGAGAACGAGCATAAAGAAGAACATAATCAAATTTTATTACCAGACGAAGATCTTTCTTGAGTGTTTCCGGTGTGAGATCTTGCAGAAACTGCAGATTTGTTCTTCCTCTCTGTTCCTTCTCCAGACATTCTCTCTCTCACTCTCTCTTTCTCTTGGAATCTTTTTAACTAGCGAAAGAGTGTAAGGAAAACAAAGTTTGGTGAGGCGAAGGCTAAAGAGCTTGCCTCTTTTATGAGTTTTTGTCTTTATATATAAATGAATAAATAGTAACTAAATTGGATTTTAGTTTCTTCTTTGTTTATAAAAAATGGTAAATCTGCAGAAGAGTAATTAAAGATACGTGGACACGTACGTACCTATCCAGATTCCATGACGGACTAATTACGATAGGAGCTTGGAAGTACTCGAAGATTAAACATAAAAAAACATGAGTCACGTGAATCATCTCACTATTGAAAAGTTCTCAAATTTGGTGCTTCATTCTCCCAATTTTGGTCCACAGTTTAGTAGTAGCATAATAGCATTTTAAATAATTTTTTGACTGAGATTGGTTTTAAACTAATATGTTTCATTGTTGTAAATTACCACCAATGTACCTTTATTTTATTTTTTGAAGTTGTCTGTGTAGAGTTTTGGGAATTGTCATTCTACAACGGTTCCTCGGTATCATTGAAGGGATATTTATGACAATTTTGTAGTGAACTTTTGGCGCTATTTTAAAAAAAAAAAATTCTAAAATGCTGAAGAAGAGAGCTAGGCAACCAAATAAAATGAGATGTTTTAGGTTGTTATATAGGTCTTTTATTTCGAGATTGTAAATTATGTCTTTTGCTTTTCTAGACGGGTTGGATTTTCCTCACTTTGTTTTATGCGATTATTCTTCTAAAACTCGCCATCGAAGCAAATGCATGTTTGTTAGATTCCTTCTTTCTATATTATATAAAATGTTTGTTAGATTTGTTTATGCAAGCCACTCATGAAATAAATTGGCTAGTTTTTGAAACTTTTCTGATTAGCGTGACTGAGATATTTTTTTCCCAAAAATTTGTACACGTCATCAAAAAATCGATCCAGCCCGGTTTTGAGTCGGAACGTATCCTAATTCAAACCGGACCGGGTGGTTATTTCTTGTGGTCGTTAACGCGAGACCGGATAAGTTGAAGAAATCCCCGACCGTTATTTATTTTCGCAGACGGATATGGAAAGATAGAAGAGAGAATCAAAACAATGGCGACTGTGAAATTCTCTCTCACCTTCGTTTCACCATCACTACCTTCTTCTTCTTCTTCTTCTTCTTCTTCTTCTTCTTACTCTCTAATCCCCAATGCGGCGCGTGCGTTCAACGCGACACCTTCGCCGGCAAAGTCTGCGAAGTCGCGATTCATGGGTAAGTGCCTGAGAGCAAAACCGGCGAAATCCATAGCATCTCGATCCGGCGGAATCACCTGCTCTGCTTCGTCTTCTCCGGCGACTCTTCCCTCTGCTCTTCTCTTCGATTGCGACGGCGTTCTTGTTGATACCGAGAAGGACGGTCACAGGATCTCCTTCAACGACACTTTCAAAGAGGTTTTTGAATTTTTTTTTGATTACATAGCTCTTCGATCCCGTGATTTAGAAGGTCGATTTGAGTCTCGGTGTGATTTGGCAGAGAGATTTGGGTGTTACCTGGGATGTCGATTTGTACGGCGAGCTACTGAAAATTGGTGGTGGAAAAGAAAGGTATAGAGGTTAAACAACCAAATTCGAGTTCATTAAGTCAACAATTTTAGTCTCGTTTGAATGGAATTGAAGTGAATCTTTCGAAAGTTCAAGTTTTTTTTGTTTTCATAGAGAAGGCTTGTTTTGTTTGTAGGATGACTGCGTATTTTAACAAGGTAGGTTGGCCAGAGAAAGCTCCCAAGGATGAAGCAGAGAGGAAAGTGTTCATAGCTGGGCTTCACAAGCAAAAAACTGAGCTTTTCATGGTTTTGATCGAGAAAAAGCTTCTTCCTCTTCGACCCGGTGTTGCCAAGTTAGGGTCACTTCTAATCTCCTAATCTATGATGCGTTCACTTGCTTTTGATGCAACGTATAAAACCCTCTTGAAATTGATCTGCTTATGAAATTATGAACTTTAAACCCCAAAAAGACTTACTTGATACATTCTCCTGATGCTATGGATAAGGCTAGCTATTTCTAGTAATCATATACATCTTCTGGTTTCTGTTAGATTGAGCCTTCTTGTTGGAACTTTGCAGGCTGGTTGATCAAGCTTTAACGAATGGAGTTAAAGTCGCTGTGTGCAGTACTTCAAATGAGAAGGCGGTATGATCAATCAGGTTCTACTACTTCAGTTTCCAAGGCCATAATAATCTTCACCATGCATATATCATGTCCTGACTAGTTTTCTTAAAGAAAGAATACGCAGCTAAGTTATTAGCAAGATTGTTCTCAAATATGTGAAACTCGTCTAGCTTCGAACAAATTGTATAGACTATTATGGGAAGCAGGGAAATGTGAATCAACGTTTTATCATCTTGACCTGATCTCAGGTTTCTGCTATAGTTTCATGCTTGCTTGGACCAGAACGAGCAGAGGAGATCAAGATCTTCGCAGGAGATGTGGTTCCCAAAAAGAAACCTGATCCGGTGATTTACTAACCTTCCATTCTGTTGTACTACTTTGCTTACTTAATCTTGGTTAAAGACAGAGTTATCAACCTTTTGTTTTTAACAGGCCATATACAACTTAGCAGCTGAAACCCTTGGAGTTGATCCCTCAAAGTAAGTGTTACTATAATCTTTTACAGGAAGAGGAGCCAGTTTTAGAAAATTTCTAAAGATTTTGGCTCTCTGTGTGTGCAGATGTGTTGTGGTTGAAGACAGCGCGATCGGACTAGCAGCTGCAAAAGCTGCGGGAATGACTTGTATAGTTACAAAGAGTGGGTGAGTTTTTAGTATCAGAATCTCATTCATAAACTAAATATCAATCAGAAAATGAAATAAGTATATTCATCTTTGGATTTGCAGATACACTGCGGATGAAGATTTTGTGAACGCAGACGCAGTTTTCGACTGCATTGGAGACCCTCCGGAAGAGAGATTTGATCTGACATTCTGTGGAAGCCTTCTCCAGAAACAGTTCGTTAGTTAAATGTCACAAACCCCATTGAGAAAGAAATGATCTTTAATTGTTACTTTCTCAACATTGGTGTGTATAGTGAAAGAGAAATATTCATTGTAAAACCATATGATTCGATTCTACACTATATCCCTGACATTTCCTTATAGCAGATGCATTGCTGGATTGAGATTTGTCTCAGGCAATGATTCAGTGGAAGTGCTTTGTAATGGTACGACCTCATCATGAATCTTTTTGCTCCAGTGAAGTCTCAACGGTCACTTCTGTTTCCTCTTTACCATCTGAATCCAAAAGCTTCTGCTGAAACGTATCTTGGATCTTAGTTACACCCTTCTCCACAGGTCCCATCGCTTGGTTTATCGTAAGAACCACATCCTTCACTACGTGTTGTCCACCGTCCATAACTATATCTTGCACGCTCTCCTTAATGCTCGTACCAGATGCTTCAACGTGAGTCTCTATCGTCTCTACAAGACCGCCTCCTTCGTCTGGTTTAACTTCTGTCTTCTTGCTAGTTTCTGCCGTGATTTTACCACACTCCAATACTGTGATGTAGTGGTAAGGCTCAGCTGGGAAAACAAAGAGATGAGCCACGGCTGCGATGGCCATCTCGATGCAGATGAGGAAATCTTGCAATGCGTTTTGGAATCTTCCTTCTTTTGGAAGCACACCGTAATAACAAAGCAACGCGATCCCAAAGCCTTGCCACCAAGTGGCAAACACTATGGCTTTAAAGCTAATGAACTTGGCCAAGGGTTTGATTTCTCTAAGCCGTTCATGAGTAACGTTGTAGAACTGCACTAGGCAAAACAGAGCCCACATCTGGCTGAAGTTTAGCACCACCACTATGTATGGATATCTACAGAATAAAAAAAAAAGATTCAACACTTGTTTTTTTCCGCAAAAACAAACAGATGGTTACATTCGGTTTCTCCTCACATACCCATAATACCATTTGAATTCACCATCACCATAAACACCGAGAAGCTCCAACAAAAATGCCAAGAATGCACAAAAGGTTTTGAGGATCATCTGAGACAATACATATCACAAAAGATATTATCATCAGCTCAGAAACTAAGCAGTTTGGCTGAAGAAGAAGAAGACTTACATACTGGACAAGACCGAACTTCTCTATCACAAAGAGCTCTCGTCCCAAGACATATGGTTCACACAAGAACTTCCAAAATGGATTCCTCTGTTTCTGCTTCTTCTCATTTGCTTCTCCTTCTAATAATGGTTCTCTTGATTCGTTTTCAAGCAATTCAACAACTCTCCTTTCACCACCTGAGCATACATATTGCATAGTTTTGTTTAAACTTATCATAATTCTGAATTTTACAAGAGAGAGCAGAAAATCTTTATTCACCTAGACATGCGACCAAGTAACTTCCAAAGGAATACAAAGCGAAAGCCTCATAGCAGTTTCTCAAAATGTCACAAGGCAGCGAGAATTTTGCATTTGACAAGGAAATAATCTAAGACAAAACACCACAGAAACAAAACCGCTTCGATTAAATTGTAAAATACAGACAAAAAATTAACAATCTTTAGGAAAGGAAAAGAAAGAGGCTTTACCGATTCAGTAGCATAAACTGGGACCATAAACAGAACAGGAACAATCCATTTTTGCTCCTGCAATTATTTACACTCATCAAGAAACGGTTTCTCTTCTTAACCATTTAAATACGTTGATGCTATATAAAAGGGAAAAAAAATCCATAATTCCCTCAAATTACCAAGAAACTGAAATATAAACTATACGCAGAAAATAGGAAAAAAATATAATGAAGATTCGTATGTACGGACAGAGGGATTGGTGTAGAAACGGAGATGCTGGAGAATAAGGAAAACGGAGAGACAAATAGAGACGGCGGCGAAAGATCCTCCGATGATCGAAGCCGGAAAATGTAGATCTCTGTACGTACTTGCCTCCCTTTCTCTCATTTTGTCATTATAGATAATATATCAGACGTTATAGATTATCAAACTATACTGGTTTAAAAAAAAATATGTTTTTGTTGAAATCTTTTACTATAATTCATCGGTGGTGCTTTGGTTGCTTTTAAGGTTGTACGCACACGTGTTATCGCTCCCAGACGCCACAGCGACGGTCTGTGACACATGTCACAACGAGATGTTTTTTAATTTGCTTCAGCAAAATGCAATTTTTTTTTTTTTTTAAAGAAGTTCTAAAAGTTTATTAAGGAGTTGTTGTTACATCACCAACATAAGCACACATACATAATCATTGATTTAATAAAGAATGTTCTCAAATATGCGCTGAAGAAATTTATGAAGTCTAATGTGAAGCAGGAAAATGTATGAATCAACTTCTAATTTTTCTTTCTATTCTGGCCTGTTCTCTGGTTTCTGCTATAGTTTCATGTTTGCTTGGACCAGAATGAGCAGAGAATATCAAGATTTCGCAAGGAGACATATAGTTCCCAAAAATAAACCTGATTTGGTGATTTACTAACCTTCCACTATATCACAAGAAGTTTGCTTTCGTTTCAGCAACTTAGCAGCTGAGAAAGCCTTGGAGTTGATGATTCCCTCAAAAGAAAGAGTCAGTTTAGTAACCCTTGTAAAGATTTGGCTCTGTTTGTGTGTGTAGAACTAATCTTTTATTGTATTTACAACTCAACATTGGTGGTGTGTGTGTTTAGTGAAGACTGAAGACAAACAAACATTCATGTAAAACCATATTAGCTCGATTATGAAAAAACGTTCTCTCATAATATAACTTGGGCTTGCGAGTATTTTTTGGGTTTTACTTTTAGACCTAAGGCTAAAAGGTTTGCTTAAACCATTGTTGCGAATTTCCATGTTACATTCCAGGAGACACTAAACGCCAAAAAACAAAGCCTAAATCTTTTTTCACGAAGATGCCTTAAAGTTTCTTCCTTTATTTTTTTTTTCAAATTGGGCGTTTCAACTTTGATTGACGAGAAACGGAACCTGAGGAAGGTACGAAATTGCTAAGCTATGAAGAGATTCTTCAAGCCCATAGAAAAGGACGGCTCCACGGCGGCTAAGAAACCCTGCCTTTCACCGGAAAAGCGTGACGGAAACGGAGATGGAGATGAAGAAGGGAAGAACCAGAAAGAGCCGTCCAAGTTTTTGACGTGGAACGCTAATAGCTTCCTCCTTCGGGTGAAAAATGACTGGTCTGAGTTCTCTAAGTTCGTCTCCGATTTCGACCCGGATGTCATTGCTGTACAGGTGATTTTACTTCTTCTTCTTTCATTTTTTTTTTTTTTTGTCTCTTGGGTTGATTCCAAGCAATGTGAGTAAATGTGGTTAGGTGTTTCTGTGTGGAACTTTTCTCTAAATCCTCTAGGGTTTCAATGAAGCGGATTTGAGTTTTCTCTTGATGTATTTTGCTGATCTCTATTGGTGAAAAATGATTTACTGTTTATTATTTGTAGTGTATGATATTTCTGCATGTTGTTTGTTTTGGTTCTCCTGAGTTTGCTCAAATTTAGCTCAAAGTGTTGATCTTTCAAGTCTATGGCTACTTCTATGGAAATATATGAGTTTTCTATAAGTTGATAGTTGCTTGTGATACTCGTTTTTCTATTTAGTTCTCTAGTGTTGCCCAAGTTAGCATTTTTGTGTCGAATTAATTTTAAAGTTAACTCCAACTTGTTGATGCAAATTCAGTCACTTATGACGCTGAAAATGGTAGGCTGTGCAAAAGAACAGACTTTGATTCAATAAGCTGTGACTACGATGTGGCTGTTAATTCAATTGGTTACATTTTGTTTCTGTAGTCAAACACTGAGCGTAGGTATTAACTGTGTTTATAATGTTAGGAAGTGAGAATGCCTGCTGCTGGTGGGAAGGGAAAACCTAAAAATCATGAAGAGTTGAGCGATGACACGAAAGCTTTGCGTGAGGAAAAACAGGTACCATTGTTTTCTGTTTTGACTGGGTTGTATTCTCTGTCAATATGTGTATTACAATATCAACGGATTGAGAATCAGAGCTTTGTATTTAGATGCATTTGCAATTCCAGTCAGATTTTAGTGTTTTGAGTTAGGTTCAACAATGCAGTGGCATGTTTGTAGATAGATTTAGAAAAGAAACAAATTATCTTGTTGTTTGGATAACGTTCAAGGTTGATAATAGTTCTGCGAAATTGTTCTTCTTGTCTTAACTGCAGATTTTGACGCGGGCTCTCTCAAGTCCACCATTTGGAAATTATCGAGTTTGGTGGTCTCTTGCGGACTCAAAGTATGCAGGGACAGCTTTGTTAGTGAAAAAGTGTTTCAAGCCCCAAAAAGTTTACTTTAACCTTGACAGAATAGGTATTTTTTGAAAGCCTTGTTGCTTCTTCTTAGTATCACATAAATCTCTACACTAGCAATTTGAACCATGTTTCTTTTGTCTGTGTCGTTCTGCAATTTTCTTGACCTCTAATTTTATCTACTTGGGAGATATATATATAATAGCTATAGATCAGATTGGTGTGTAACTTATATACTTGTCGCTAATAATGCAGCATCTAAACATGAACCTGATGGTCGTGTAATCTTAGCTGAATTTGAGACATATCGTCTTTTAAATACGTATTCGCCTAACAATGGTTGGAAAGAGGAGGAGAATTCGTTTCAGAGAAGAAGAAAATGGGACAAGAGGATTGCTGAGTTCCTCTCCCAAACGTCTGATAAACCTCTAATATGGTGTGGCGACTTAAATGTCAGGTAATGAGGAAACTCTTATCTTGCCAGATTCTTCTCATACAGTGTTACAGGATAAAAGTTGATATTATTTCTTCAATTCGATTTTTGTAATATGCAGTCATGAGGAGATAGATGTTAGCCATCCAGATTTTTTCGCATCAGCAAAACTTAATGGTTATGTTCCTCCAAACAAAGAGGTAACAAAATCCAAATATTTTTAATGAGATCTATATATATCATTGAAAAACAGAGTAGGTTTTCAAAACGTTAAGTTCCATTGTTATTCATTAGATCGACCTTTGATTTCTCTTTTTTCTTTTTTCTTGTCTCTGCATTTGAACTGCGACCTCTCATCGTAGATGACTGTATTAGGCCTGAACCAAAAGCTTATCCATGATATATACTTTAGAATCACACGGTGACTACAAGGTTTAAATTATTTGATTATGCAGGACTGTGGACAACCTGGATTTACACCATCTGAGAGAAGACGATTTGGTGCAATTATGAAAGAGTATACCTTATATATATATATCTTTTCACTTTGAAGTCTTAGTAGTAGTAATTTCTTGAATAGAGATTATAGCTCCTCAACATGTGGTTCTAAATTAAACTTATGGGAATGTTACAGAGGAAGGCTTGTTGATGCATACCGGTATCTACACAAGGAAGCAGACATGGAAAGTGGCTTCTCATGGTGTGGGAATCCTATTGGAAAGTGAGTAGATACCACATATATATGTGGGTTTCACATGGCATGGAGTCTAGAAGCTCGTTGTCATGGTTCTAAAGCTTCATATGGATCTTTTTGGTTGCCATAGGTACCGGGGAAAGAGGATGAGGATCGACTATTTTCTGGTCTCTGAACATCTCAAAGATCGTATAGTTACTTGTAAGATGCACGGTCGTGGGATAGAATTAGAAGGTGCGATAGATAAGATTAAACGGGCAGTTTATTACATAGATTCATAGAAAGATGATTCAGCTCTTTTGCAGCAACTTGGTTCTTGATTTTTTTTTTTCAGGCTTCTATGGGAGTGATCACTGTCCGGTTTCACTCGAGCTTTCGAAGCCAACATCAGATTCGGAAGAGAACCAGGTTTCCAACTAAAATCATCCTCTTCTGCAATAGAACATAAGCCTTCTTTAGACTCAAACCAAAGCTTGTGTTATCAGGGTTGAGAGAATGATCTTTTCATTTACTTTTGCCGATTTGAGGATTAGGTTGATGATATTGAGACACTTATTTGGCCTTGTTGCTATCTTGAGCAATCAAAAGGACCTTTAACAATGATTTATTTTTCCTAGGAAATGTAGATATTTTCACATTTGAATCTTCATTTTATTTTTTGATTAGTTTTGATATTGGCTCATTTCTGAAGATTTAGAATTTTGTTTGGGTGTATTTTAAGCATATATACCCTTTGCTTTATTGCATGGGTAGAGGCAACATTCGTTAAACCAAGCTCATATATTCATATAAAATTAATTTTAAATTCGACAAAAAGACAATAGACAATAAATCATTTAAAATTATGCATCATTTTCGGTATTGAATTTCAATGTTGACTTGATATAATATTATTTTCAAAATCAATTTCTGCTTATTCCCAATTAATTTTCAAATTATAGATAAAAATTAGAAAAAATAAACTTAAGAAAAATGTTTGATTAAAACCATTTTTTTGCCTTTTGGTTTTAATTTTAAACCAGAAATCCTAAAATAAACCTGGAAGACAGTATATTTCTCTTAATTGGTATACTTTATACCTAGTAAAATTACTTTTAAAAATGGATTTTTTGTTAAATTGGAGTTTTTGGATGTGCAAACAGACTTAGCAAGAGGACAACAACAAATGTGTGTCGAACAAATGAAATGGTAGAATCGTAAATAACAGACAATTCACTACCCTTCATTCAGAATTTCAAAAACCCTTCTTCCTTGCAGTTCCAAAAAAAAAAAATCTTACTCACAGTTCTTTACTTGTTAAATACTGAGATATCACATCTCTTACTCTGCCCAAACCCAACCCCTTAACCAAAAAAATACATTTTTTTCCCCTGTTTTCTTTAATCCAATAAAAACAGAGAGACCTAAGAAACGAGATCAAGCCCGTCGTTTTTTCCGAGGAAAAGTGGATGACCCTTTAACATAATAAACCTATTGGCCGGGGAGATGGTGGAGAGTCGTCGAATCTCTTGATTTGTTTTTATTTTCCTTTTCGAAATTTTGTTCTGTTTCTGCTCTGTAATGACGTTTTGATTACTATCCCCAAGCTGAAAGTGAAGAAATTTTGAGGAAAAGGGTTTTCTTTTTTTGGGTTTCCTCTGTGCGAGAGAGATATGGCGGTTTCAGAGCAGAGCCCAGACGTCTTTCCATGGCTGAAATCGTTGCCGGTTGCTCCAGAGTTCCGACCTACTTTAGCAGAGTTCCAAGATCCGATCGCTTACATTTTTAAGATCGAAGAGGAAGCTTCCAAATACGGAATCTGCAAAATTTTGCCTCCTGTTCCTCCTTCCTCTAAGAAAACCGCCATTAATAACCTCAACCGTTCTCTGGCAGCGCGAGCGGCGGCGAGGGTTCGTGACGGAGCCGACGACGGCGCGTGGGATTACGACGGTGCTCCCACATTCGCCACGCGTCAACAGCAGATCGGGTTTTGCCCTAGGAAGCAGCGACCCGTACAGAGACCAGTGTGGCAGAGCGGAGAGCATTACAGTTTCGGTGAGTTTGAGTTTAAAGCTAAGAACTTTGAGAAGAATTATCTAAGGAAATGCGGCAAAAGGAGCCAACTTTCTGCCCTGGAAATCGAAACCCTGTACTGGAGAGCCACAGTGGACAAACCCTTCTCTGTTGAGTACGCAAACGACATGCCTGGCTCGGCTTTTATTCCTCTGAGTCTGGCAGCTGCGAGGAGAAGAGAGTCTGGTGGTGATGGAGGAACAGTTGGTGAGACAGCTTGGAACATGAGGGCAATGGCTAGAGCTGAAGGATCGTTACTTAAGTTCATGAAAGAGGAGATCCCTGGAGTTACATCTCCAATGGTGTATATTGCTATGATGTTTAGTTGGTTTGCTTGGCATGTCGAAGACCATGACCTTCATAGTCTCAATTACTTGCATATGGGTGCTGGTAAGACTTGGTACGGTGTGCCAAAGGATGCTGCTGTGGCCTTTGAGGAGGTGGTTAGGGTTCATGGCTATGGTGGAGAGCTTAATCCTCTTGGTGAGTATCTTGTGAAGGTTAATTAGCGTTATGTGAGAGTGACTTATAGTTACTCAATGTTTCAATTCCTTTTTCTGATTGTTGGCTTTGTTCTGTCTCTGTCCTTTTTGTTGCTGATAACTCTGCCTTTATTTACCAAAATTTGTCTGCAAAAGAAGCTGCTGTATGTAAGCAAAATTAATAGTTATGCCTCTTATGTTGTTGTCTTGCCAGTGACGTTTTCAACTCTTGGTGAGAAGACTACTGTTATGTCTCCTGAAGTATTTGTTAGAGCCGGGATACCGTGTTGCAGGTAATGGTTTTCTTTTGTGTGCTCTGTTCTTCTCATTATCTTGTTACCTTCCATTTCTCTTCTTTGCTTACTGTTCATTGCTTCAATTTTCTCTTTTTGATTGAGTGGAAACATCCAGAGGCACACCTTTTTTTTCCTGGCTTTTTACTCAAGTGGTTTGCTTGTATCAGGTTAGTGCAAAATCCTGGAGAGTTTGTCGTCACCTTTCCAGGAGCATATCATTCAGGGTTTAGTCATGGTGAGCAAGTGACCTTTATTTAGTATCCTTCAAGTTAATCATTCAAGGCTTAATGCATCGAAACAATTTAGACTATTAAAAAAACGATCTTGGGGATTACAGGATTCAATTTTGGGGAAGCATCTAACATTGCAACTCCCCAATGGTTGAGAATGGCTAAAGATGCTGCCATCCGGCGAGCTGCAATAAACTATCCTCCAATGGTTTCTCATCTCCAGTTACTTTATGACTTTGCATTGGCTTTGGGTTCAAGGTACTCTTCCTTCTTCATAGACACTTTTATACTTATAAACTGATTGAAAGTTTCATTTTTGGTGTCATATTCATTGCAGAGTGCCAACAAGCATCAACACCAAACCACGGAGTTCTAGACTGAAAGATAAGAAAAGAAGCGAAGGAGAGAAATTGACTAAAGAGTTGTTTGTGCAAAATATTATCCACAACAATGAATTGCTCTGCTCTCTCGGAAAAGGATCTCCGGTCGCTCTTCTTCCGCAGAGTTCCTCAGATGTATCGGTTTGTTCTGATCTGAGAATTGGATCCCATTTGAGAACTAACCAGGAAAAGCCAATCCAGTTAAAATCCGAGGACTTGAGTTCTGATAGTATTATGCCCGGACTCAATAACGGTTTCAAGGATGCGGTTTCAGTGAAAGAAAAGTTTACATCTTTGTGTGAAAGGAACAGAAATCACCTGGCAAGCAGAGAGAACGAAACTCAAGGAACTTCAACAGATGCTGAAAGGAAGAAAAATGACAGAGCTGTTGGACTTTCGGATCAGAGGCTTTTCTCTTGTGTTACATGTGGAATCTTAAGCTTTGATTGTGTAGCGATTGTTCAACCTAAGGAAGCAGCCGCTAGATATCTCATGTCTGCAGATTGTAGCTTCTTCAATGATTGGACAGTTGCTTCGGGACCTGCAAATCTTGGTCAGGTTGCAGGATCACTTCATCCGCGTAAGTTACAAAAGTCACTAACTTCGGGATCTGTTAATGGCTGTTATTTAGCATTTACTAACTTTTTCTCATCATGCAGAAAGCACGGGAAAGCACGATGTAGATTACTTCTACAATGTTCCTGTTCAAACTACGGATCATTCAATGAAGACCGGCGATCAAAGAACATCATCAAGTTCCCTAACAAAAGAGAATAAAGATGATGGTGCTCTTGGGCTGTTAGCATCAGCATATGGAGACTCTTCTGATTCCGAGGAAGAAGATCACAAAGGCTCAGATATTCCCATTTCGGAAGGGATAACAAGACAGTATGATCAAGAAGGTGCTTGTGTATCTGAAGCAACATCTTTTGATACAGATAGAAACGAGGAGGCTAGAGATGGTCCATCTTCTGATATTAACAGCCAAAGACTTACAAGTGGGAAAGGCAAAGAGATTGACGTATTACATGCTACTTCAAGTTGCTCGACCCTTTCTTGTACATCACTTCAGGAAATAGCTTTACCATTTATTCCAAGATCTGATGACGATTCCTCTCGGTTGCACGTCTTTTGTCTTGAGCATGCTGCGGAAGTGGAACAGCAACTTCGTCCTATTGGGGGGATTCGCATAATGTTATTATGCCATCCAGGTAACAGCAAAACTATAACATTCAGTTTTTTATTACTCTTACGACATTGTCTGGATTTTGGTGTATAAATTATGCATATGCTTGAGTCTTTTGATCATTAAGACGTATGATGTTTGCAGAGTACCCCAGGATAGAGGCTGAAGCAAAGATAGTTTCTGAAGAGCTTGGAGTCAATCACGAGTGGAATGATACTGAATTCAGGAATGTGTCTCGAGTGGATGAGGAAACGATTCAGGCAGCGTTGGATAATGTTGAAGCTAAGGCTGGGAACAGTGATTGGTCTGTAAAATTGGGTATTAACCTTTCTTACAGCGCCATTCTCAGTCGCTCTCCTCTGTACAGTAAGCAGATGCCTTACAACTCAGTCATATACAATGCGTTCGGTCGTGGCTCTCCAGCAACGAGCTCACCCACGAAACCCCAAGTTTCTGGTAAAAGATCTTCCAGACAGAGGAAATATGTTGTTGGAAAATGGTGTGGGAAGGTTTGGATGTCGCATCAGGTAATATTAACTTGAAAACATATACTAATTTGGACATTAGTTCACTTCTGTTTCTGCTTGGTTTGTTTCAGTTTTTAACGCTGATATTTTGTTCTTCTTCAGGTGCATCCCTTTTTGCTGCAGCAGGACTTAGAGGGGGATGAATCTGAAAGAAGTTGTCATCTGCGAGGTGTTCTGGAAGATGATGTCATTGGAAAGAGATTGTCTCCTTGTAATGCTTCTAGAGATGCAACCACAATGTTTGGAAGAAAGTATTGTAGGAAGAGAAAGATGAGAGCAAAGGCTTTGCCACGCAAGAAGCTTACCTCTTTTAAGAGGGAAGATGTTGTTTCTGATGACACATCAGAGGATCATTCCTATAAGCAGCAATGGAGGGCTTCTGGGAATGAGGAAGAGTCTTATTTTGAGACAGGGAATTCGGTTTCTGGTGATTCATCAAATCAAATGTCTGATGAGCAGCAGGAATTTGTGAGACACCAAGGTGATAAAGATTTTGAGTCAGATGATGAGGTTTCAGACCGTTCACTTGGAGAAGAATATGCTGTAAGGGAATGTGCTGCTTCAGAGAGCTCAATGGAGAATGGCTCTCAGCTATATAGAGAGAACCAGTCAATGTATGATCATGATGATGATGATATCTATAGGCATCCTAGAGGGCTTCCAAGGAGCAAACGGACTAAATTCTTTAGGAATCCGGTTTCATATGATTCAGAAGAAAATGGCCTATATCAACAAAGGGGAAGAGTATCTACAAGTAATGCGCAAATTAGTCGAATGGGTGGTGCGTACGATTCAGCAGATAATTCACTGGAGGAACAAGAGTTTTGCAGTGCAGGGAAAAGGCAAACCAGGTCCACAGCTAAACGAAAAGTGAAAACCGAGATAGTTCAGAGTCTGAGAGACACAAAAAGACGTGCTTTGCGACAATCTGGACCCAGAAAGAAGAATCAAGAAGTGGATATATACATGGAGGGACCGAGCACACGGCTGAGAGTGAGAAATCTAAATCCCTCAATAGGGTCTTCTGAAACAAAACCAAAGAAAACTGGTAAGAAAAGAAACAGCAATTCTTTTTCCAGAGTTGCAAGTGAGGAAGAGTTAGAGGAAGATGAAGAAGAGAATGAGCAAGAGGAATGCGCACCGTACCAATGTGACATGGAGGGTTGCACGATGAGTTTCACTTCGGAAAAACAGTTGGCTTTGCATAAAAGAAACATATGCCCTGTTAAAGGTTGTGGTAAAAACTTCTTCTCACACAAGTATTTGGTTCAACACCGGCGTGTTCACTCAGATGACCGTCCTCTGAAATGTCCATGGAAGGGCTGCAAGATGACGTTCAAGTGGGCTTGGTCTAGAACCGAGCACATCAGGGTTCACACAGGTGCAAGGCCTTATGTTTGTGCTGAACCAAGTTGCGGTCAGACTTTTCGGTTTGTCTCAGATTTTAGCCGGCATAAAAGGAAGACCGGTCATTCAGTAAAGAAGACAAAGAAAAGGTGATTTAGGTTCTAACATGGAATCTATCTTGAAGAGATTATGATCCATTGGTCTATAAGAAGAGAAATTGGATTTAGGGTTTTGAGGGTCCCTGGTTCTTGCAGACATTTCACTACTCTGTTATTATTTTTACAGTTTAATCTGTAAAAAAATCCTTATGTAGGAGACTATTATGTTCATGTTACTTTCTTTCTTCTTGGCTTTTGATAAGTAAAGGAGAAGCTTTTATGATTAAGACATTATCTCAAATTCTGCTAAGGAAGATGTGTTTACGAAGACAGAGGACTGAAAAAAGAAACCCTTTTGTTGAATCAATGTTGTTAAGACTTAAGAGGCGTTATATGCTGCACAAATTAAAATTGTTAGTTTCTTAATTTTAGGCCTTCTGTGTTGACCGGCTTGTTTTAGTTGTCAACAATTGCATGACGATATCAACGAAGTGAGATATGGTCATAGGGAAAGATAAAAGATTTAGAAGAAAGCAAGAGCTACTTTTGGAGTATCAGTCTCTCTGTGTGTTTGGATAATGTTTCAACCCCAAGAGATTCAAATTTATATTTATTTTAACATTTTCCTTGAGTAAATAACGAGTTTTAATTATTATTTTTTTTTTGTCGAACGACTTTCAACGACTTTTAATTATTTATTACTTGAGATATATATAGTTTTCGACGTGACACAATCTGGATGGTTGAATGTCTAAATGCTAGCCGTGGGTTTCATTTTTTTTTGGTTTTAATTTGTGGACTTCATTTGACCTTCGATAAAGACTCAACCTATTGTTAACGACATTAGCTGAATGAAGTTCAGTATTGACAGATATTTTGGGATAAATTTACTTTTGTGAAACTTATATATGCTACTTACTATTTGACAAATTTAGTATCGGGGTATATCATAACTTTCAACAATATTTACATAAAAAGTGAATTTTTATAAGTATTGGAAACAATCCATAAAAATCAGAAGAGGGACTGACTGATGACAAAAAAAAACTAGCCCATAAATAGGACGGGACGCTATGTTAGGAACTAGAATAATGACAAAAACCTTTTTAAAAAATTTCCTCAAAAATGTATAATATAGAAACCATAAGAAAAAATCAAAATGTGATAAAATTTAAAATAAATAAGAAAATGGACGAAAATTACGTTACCCTTTTATTCAATAATAAAAATTTATTAAAAATATTGAAAATGATAAACAGAGGAAGGAGTAGTTTTTGAATGCGCAAAAGGTGCGGGACAACAACAAATGTGTGTTGTCGAACTCATGAAATGGCAAAATAGTAAATACTAGTATTTTATTTAGTATAACATAATAAAAAAACCGCATTAACCATCCTTTCATCGTAGATTTCAAAATCTCTTTGCCCTTACAATTTACCACTACTTGCTAGTTGCTTCTTTTATGCAAAATGAGAATAATTTAAAAAGCAAAAAACAAAACAGAGAAACGAGAAATCACAATCTCTTGCTCTGCCCCAAACCCAACCCCTGAAAAAAAAAACAATTTTCCAAAAGAAACGAGATCAAGCCCGTCGTTTCTCTCGAGAAAAAAGTAGGTTTAGTTATCCCCTTTAAGAAATTAAAAACCTATTGGAGAAGAGAGATGGTGGAGATTTGTCGAATCTCTTAACTCTGCTTTCCTTTTGTTTCTTCTTCTCCATTTTAGTTCTGTTTTAACTTTTCCTCTGTAATGGCGTTTTTCAGTACCCAGATTCTGAAACCCTGAAAGTGAACTAATTTCAAGAGAAAGGTTTTGTTTTTCCTCTGTTCGTTCGAAATAGAGAGACATGGTGGTTTCGGAGCAGAGCCCAGACGTGTTTCCATGGCTGAAATCGTTGCCGGTTGCACCAGAGTTCCGACCTACTTTAGCAGAGTTCCAAGATCCGATCGCTTACATTTTCAAAATCGAAGAGGAAGCTTCAAGATACGGAATCTGCAAAATTGTGCCTCCAGTGCCTCCTCCTTCGAAGAAAACCACGATTTCTAACCTCAACCGTTCTCTGGCGTCGCTAGCGACGGCGAGGGTTCGTGACGGCGGCGATGCTTTCGATTACGACGGTGCCCCCACATTCGCCACGCGTCAACAGCAGATCGGGTTTTGCCCTAGGAAGCAGCGACCCGTACAGAGACCAGTGTGGCAGAGCGGAGAGCATTACAGTTTCGGTGAGTTTGAGTTTAAAGCTAAGAACTTTGAGAAGAATTATCTAAGGAAATGCGGCAAAAAGAGTCAACTTTCTGCCCTAGAAATCGAAACCCTTTACTGGAGAGCCACAGTGGACAAACCCTTCTCTGTTGAGTACGCAAACGACATGCCTGGCTCGGCTTTTATCCCTCTGAGCCTGGCGGCTGCAAGGAGAAGAGAGTCTGGTGGTGATGGAGGAACAGTTGGTGAGACAGCTTGGAACATGAGGGCAATGGCCAGAGCTGAAGGATCGTTGCTTAAGTTCATGAAAGAGGAGATCCCTGGAGTTACATCTCCAATGGTGTATATTGCTATGATGTTTAGTTGGTTTGCTTGGCATGTGGAAGACCATGACCTTCATAGTCTCAATTACTTGCATATGGGTGCTAGTAAGACTTGGTACGGCGTTCCAAAGGATGCTGCTGTGGCTTTTGAGGAGGTGGTTAGGGTTCATGGCTATGGAGGAGAGCTTAATCCTCTTGGTTAGTTTTCTTTTCCACCAATTGCTTACTTCTATGGGATACTCTGTTACATAGTCACTTGGCCAAGAAATTTCGGTAAAGGCTTGTGCTTGGTTGGTTTTTGATTGAAGCCAGAGTCTTGTTTTGATAACAAGTTTCTTTCGAAGGTTAAGTTATGAAGGTTCTGAGTCTGGGAGCTTAGCTTCACTTCATTGTTCTGATTGTTATGTTTGTGTCTCTATCCTTGTATAGCTGTATGCAAGTAAACTAAATGGTTTTGCCTCTTTTGTTGTTGTCTTACCAGTGACATTTTCAACTCTTGGTGACAAGACAACTGTGATGTCTCCTGAAGTATTTGTTAAAGCCGGAATACCATGTTGCAGGTAGTGGTTTCTTATGTTTGCTCTGTTTATCTCATGATCTTGTTGTCTTCCATTTACTTCTTCAACTAGAAAAGAATCTGTTAGTTGCATCCATTCTATTCAATTGACTGGAAACATCCAGAGGCACAATTGTTTCTGTTGGTTTTTCATGCAAGTGGTTTGCTTGTATCAGGTTAGTGCAAAATCCTGGTGAGTTTGTCGTCACTTTTCCAAGAGCATATCATTCGGGGTTTAGTCACGGTGAGCAAGCGACCTTTATTTAGTATCTTCAAGTTAATCACCCAAGGCTTAGCGTGTTGAAACTAACTTATATTATCTCAAACATAATCTTGGGGTATTCTAGGATTCAATTGTGGAGAGGCATCTAACATTGCAACTCCCGAGTGGTTGAGAATTGCAAAAGATGCTGCCATCCGGCGAGCTGCTATAAATTACCCTCCAATGGTTTCTCATCTCCAGTTACTTTATGACTTTGCATTGGCTTTGTGTTCAAGGTAATTTCTTTCAAAGATTTCCACAAACTCTCTAACTTGAATCTTAAGACTGCTTGTAAGGTGTGATTCACTTATTGCAGAGTGCCAACAAGCATCCACACCAAACCACGGAGTTCTAGATTGAAAGATAAGAAAAGAAGTGAAGGAGAAAAATTGACTAAAGAGCTATTTGTGCAAAACATTATCCATAACAATGAATTGCTCCGTTCTCTTGGAAAAAGATCTCCTGTCGCTCTTCTTCCGCAGAGTTCCTCAGATGTATCGGTTTGTTCTGACCTCAGAGTTGGATCCCATTTGAGAACTAACCAGGAAAGGCCAATCCAATTAAAATCCGAGGACTTCAGTTCTGATAGTATTATGGCCGGACTCAGTAACGGTTTCAAGGATGTGGTCTCAGTGAAAGAAAAGTTTACATCTTTGTGTGAAAGGAATAGAAATTACCTGGCAAGCAGAGAGAACGAAACTCAAGGAACTTTGACAGATGCTGAAAGGAAGAATGACAGAGCAGTTGGGCTTTCGGATCAGAGGCTTTTCTCTTGTGTCACATGTGGAATCTTATGCTTTGATTGTGTAGCTATTGTTCAACCTAAAGAAGCAGCAGCTAGATATCTCATGTCTGCAGATTGTAGCTTCTTCAATGATTGGACAGCTACTTCAGGATCTGCAAATCTTGGTCAGGATTCAAGATTTTCTGCAGTGAAGCCTCATTCAGGTAAGTTACTAGTCGCTCATCCTGTTCATGGCTTTAAAGTGTTAAATCTAAAGACTTTTTTGTTTGATAACTTTGTATCATTACGCAGAAAGCACAGGAAAGCATGATGTAGATGACTTCTACAATGTTCCTGTTCAAACTACGGATGAAAGAACTTCAACAACTTCTTTAACAAAAGCGCAAAAAGAAGATGGTGCTCTTGGGTTGTTAGCTTCAGCGTATGGAGATTCTTCTGATTCCGAGGAAGAAGATCACAAAGGCTTAGATACTATTATCTCGGAAGAGAGAAAGTATGACCACAATGGTATTGAGGAGGCTACAGATGGTCAAGCTTTTGATAATAGCAGTCAAAGACTTTCATGTGGGAAAGGGAAAGGGGTTGTTGAGGGATCAAATGCTGCTGAACATGATAGGTTAAGTAATGGTGGCAGTACATCAAATCTGGAAATAGCTTTCCCCTTTGTTCCAAGATCTGATGATGATTCCTCTCGGTTGCACGTATTTTGTCTTGAGCATGCTGCAGAAGTGGAACAGCAACTCCGTCCTCTAGGAGGGATTCGCATTATGTTACTATGCCATCCAGGTAACCGCAAAACGACAACATCCAATTTTTATTAGTCTTACGACGTATTCTGGATTTTGCTATATATATTATGTATATGCTTGAGTCTTTTGATCATTAAGACATATGATATTTGCAGAGTATCCCAGGATAGAGGCTGAAGCAAAGATAGTTGCCGATGAGCTTGGAGTCAATCACGAGTGGAATGATACTGAATTCAGGAATGTGACTCGAGAGGATGAGGAAATGATTCAGGCAGCGTTGGATAATGTTGAAGCTAAGGCTGGGAACAGTGATTGGTCTGTAAAGTTGGGTATTAACCTTTCTTACAGCGCCATTCTCAGTCGCTCTCCTCTGTACAGTAAGCAGATGCCTTACAACTCAGTCATATACAATGCGTTCGGTCGTGGCTCTCCAGCAACGAGCTCACCCACGAAACCCCAAGTTTCTGGTAAAAGATCTTCCAGACAGAGGAAATATGTTGTTGGAAAATGGTGTGGGAAAGTTTGGATGTCGCATCAGGTAATATTGATTAACTTAAAAACATATACTAATTTGGACATTAGTTCACTTTTGTTTCTGCTTGGTTTGTTGCAATTTCTAAGGCTGATATTTTGTTATTCTGCAGGTGCATCCCTTTTTGCTGCAGCAGGACTTAGAGGGGGATGAATCTGAAAGAAGTTGTCATCTGCGAGGTGCTCTGGATGATGATGTCACTGGAAAGAGATTGTCTCCTTGTGATGTTTCTAGAGATGCAACCACAATGTTCGGAAGAAAGTATTGTAGGAAGAGAAAGATGAGAGCAAAGGCTGTGCCACGCAAGAAGCTTACCTCTTTTAAGAGGGAAGATGGAGTTTCTGATGACACCTCAGAAGATCATTCTTATAAGCAGCAATGGAGGGCTTCAAGGAATGAGGAAGAGTCTTATTTTGAAACAGGGAATACAGTTTCTGGTGATTCATCAAATGAAATGTCTGATTCGCAGCTCAAGAGAATTCGTCGAGACAAGGGTGTTAAAGAGTTTGAGTCAGATGATGAGGTTTCAGACCGTTCACTTGGAGAAGAATATGCTGTAAGGGAATGTGCAGTTTCAGAGAGCTCAATGGAAAATAACTTTCAGCCATATAAACAGTCAGTGGACAGAAAACCCTTGGAGGATACTGTATATGGTCACAATGATGATATTATCTACAGGTACCCTAGGGGGATTCCAAGGAGCAAACGGAAAAAAGTGTTTAGGAATCCGGTTTCATATGATTCAGAAGAAAATGACATTTATCAGCAACGAAGAAATATTCAAGCTACTGGTGAGTATGTTTCAGCAGAGGATTCTCTGGAGGAACAAGACTTTTACACTACAGGGAAAAGGCAAACCAGGTCCACAGCTAAACGTAAAGTAAAAACCGAGATAGTTCAGAGTCGGAGAGACACGAGATGTCGGACTTTGCAACAATCTGGATCCGGAAAGATGAATCAAGAATTGAATTCATACATGGAAGGACCTAGCACACGACTTAGGGTGAGAAATCAGAACCCTTCAAGAGGGTTTTCAGAAACAAAACCGAAGAAAACTAGTAAGAAAAGAAGAAGTAATGCTTCCTTCTCCAGAATTGTAAGTGAAGAAGAGTTGGAAGAAGAAGACAAAGAAGAAGTAGAGAATGAGGAAGAGGAATGCGCAGCGTACCGATGTGACATGGAGGGTTGCAGAATGAGTTTCAATTCTGAGAAACAGTTGTCTCTGCATAAAAGAAACATCTGCCCTGTTAAAGGATGTGGTAAAAACTTCTTCTCGCACAAGTATTTGGTTCAACACCAGCGTGTTCATTCAGACGACCGTCCTCTGAAATGTCCATGGAAAGGCTGCAAGATGACGTTCAAGTGGGCTTGGTCTAGAACCGAGCACATAAGGGTTCACACAGGTGCAAGGCCTTATGTTTGTGCTGAACCGGGTTGTGATCAGACATTTCGGTTTGTCTCTGACTTCAGTAGACATAAACGGAAGACGGGTCATTCAGTTAAGAAGGCCAAAAGAAGGTGACTAACTTAGGCTTTAACATGGATTCTATCATGAAGAGGTTATTACATTGTAGTTTAGGGGTTTTTTAATGCGTATCTTGATCTGGTTCTTGTTCTTGTTCCTTTTTATGGGGGGCTTAACATTTGGGAGTTTCATTTGACCATTGTTGTTTGAGACAGATGCTCTCTTTGTTGTACCTCTGTCGTCTTCTTAACTACTGGAATCTACGAAATAGGAAAATATTGTGTTTTCTTGTCATCATCATTTTCATGTTGCTTTCTTTCCTTGTGCTGCTTGTAGGATTAGAAAGTTCAGGTGTTAATCTTGAATTGTGTAAATATAATGAGGACTTGATTGCAATTTTTAGAGGAAGATATCTGAAAACATAAAACTACTAGTCAAATAGAAAAGCAACGGTTTCTTTGGGATTCTCATTCGTGACGATTAAAAAGGCAAAAAATCAGAGTATCCATAAAAGGGAATATAAAATTGAAAGCTAGCAACTTTATAACTCTCTCTCTCTCTTTCTTAATTTTTTCCACCCTTTGATCTTCTTCTTCCCTGAAATTAGGGTTTTTGTAATGTGGTTGTAAGATATGGTAAATTCCGAAAGAATCTCCGGGTCAGTTGCAGATGGGTTCGAGCCTGAACCTGCGTCTCGATCTTCCTCATCTGCTGATCGATCTCCTTCTGATCTCAATCTGCTGACCAAGCTAATAGAAGCATTTGATAATGTGGGTTTCGGTGAAGTCGCTAAAGATCAGAGTGGGACGGTGATGAGTGTCTCTGAGGGTAATGGAGGTGTTGATTCGAAAGCCGTAGATGGAAACCAGGAGGAAGAAGAAGGAGGAAGGGACGCAGATGGAGACGGTGATGGTGAGAGCGAGAGTGAGAGTGAGAATATGGTTGAGAAGAGAGAAGTTGTATATCCAGTGAGGCCATGGGCAGAGGATTGCGCGTTCTATATGAGAACAGGGAGCTGCAAATTCGGATCGAGCTGCAAATTCAATCATCCTCTTCCAAATCCAAGAAAAATCCAAGTAACTTCACTTCTACACTTGTTCGTATATGGTTTGTATTTGGCTGAGGAGTTTGTTTCTCCATTCTTGCACGTTTGCTTCTAGCAAAGTTATTGGTTCTTAATTGTGTTTTTTACATATTCATTGGTCTTAGGGAAGATTTGTTTATAAAGAAGCATGATTATTTTAATCAGTGGCACATGTGTGTAGTAATATAATATGATTTGGGCTATGTGCTTCGTTTGCTAAACCAAAGGAGAAAGCTTTGTTTAGTATTTCTGTTCTGGCTAAATGTATATGCTTTTGATGGAACCAATGTATGTTTTTAGTTTCAGGGTTCTTCGTTAGATTTTTGATTCGTTTTTTAATGTTTCATCGTTATGAAGATTGCTAGGGATAAAGTAACAGAAAAGGAAGAGGATGCTGATAATCTGAGACTGATGGATTGCAAGGTTATTTTACTTCTCCTGTAACTTTCTTACATTCTCTCGTTGTGTATCTAGTGCTCTTCATGGCCTACAGCCTCGATATTTTCTATTCTATTATCTTGTTCTGCATTTGCTAAGCTCTTCTTAGTTTTCCGTGAAGTTTCCTATTTTCTAAAGTCTTATTTTCAGTTCATGTGATCCAATTTCCTTGCATGAGGTTTTGCAGTATTACTTCAGGACTGGAGGGTGCAAATATGGAGAAACTTGTAGATTCAACCACACAAAACCAAAGTCTTGTCTACCCTCTGTACCGGAGCTTAACTTCCTCGGCCTTCCCATCAGACCGGTATGACATTTCGTTGATTTTGTTGGCCATGTTTAGACATTATGTTACTAGTCTTGTCAAAGCCATATATTGATTGCAACAACCAATTGACAGGGAGAAATAGAATGTCCTTACTACATGCGCAATGGCTCCTGCAAATTTGGAGCTGACTGCAAATTTAACCATCCTGATCCTACAACTAATGGAGGAACCGACTCTCCTTCGTTTCATGGTAATAATGGTGGATCCATTGGATCATTTTCCCCAAAATCCACACTCCAAGCAAGTTCAGCTCCCTGGTCTTCACAGAGGCATGCGAATGGTACTACTCCTTTTATTCCGTCCATGTTGTCACAGAGTCGTGGAGTTCCTTCTCAAACTCCGGAGTGGAATGGCTATCAGGTAGTAACTCAAGCTCTGGATCTCAATAATATCTATTTCTATTTGAAGTATCTAGAATGATTCTATATTTTGTCTTTCGTATTTGCCTAGGCTTCTGTGTACTCATCAGAAAGGAATGTGTTTTCTCCTTCCAACACATACCTTATGAACAATTCATCAGCTGAAACAAGTATATTCTCACAGTACCAATATCAAATGCCTGCTGAGGAATTTCCAGAACGTCCAGACCAACCTGAGTGCAGTTATTATCTAAAAACTGGGGACTGTAAGTTCAAATTCAAATGCAAATACCATCATCCTAAGAATCGATTGCCGAAACAGCCTCCTTACGCTCTCAATGACAAGGGCTTACCCCTTAGACCTGTAAGTTCGTTTTTTTTTCTTTCTGTTTCTGTTTCTTGTGTTGTGCTTTTTACCTTGAGTCTTTTCTCATTTGATGCTTTTTAATTCTTGAATGTTTGATAAACTCTTCTACTCTTACATAGAAATCTCTCGGTTTTTGACTTATTTGCTTAACTGAATTTTCAGGATCAAATCATCTGCACACATTACAGTCGGTACGGCATCTGCAAATTTGGTCCAGCTTGTAGATTTGACCATTCCATCTAGTGATATTTAATACCGGCGGCCCGGGCCCGTTTTGGCTTTCCCGTTTTGGCCCTGCCCGTTTAAGCCGTTTATATATGTACCCTTTTAACTTCAAGACCACCTGGCTTGGACCAGCCTGTTTAGGCCCGGATCATTTTTAGTTTTGATATTTTATATTTGAGTTTTTGTAACAATATTTATTTTATAACATTAAATCACATGTTACGTTTTTAGTTTTGATAGTTATGATAGTTGTTTTTCATAACAAAAAAAAAAACAAACTTATGTGATTTTTGAGAATGTAATATCTTAAAGAAAAAAACCATGTGAGATTTTTTTTAAAACTAATATCATGAACAAAACCTTATATACTAAGAAATTAGTGTTAAATTCTGTAATTTAATTTGTTTAATACTCCATCTGTTCAGAATTATTTGATGTTTAAGGTTTTTGCACACAGTTTAAGGATTCATTCAATTTTTATTTTTCTTATACTAAAAATATTATTTATAATCTATTTAAATATCATTCAGCCAATAAGAAGGTAATCTGCAGAATATAAAAGGTCAAAAACTATAAAAATTCATTAAATTTTGCATTGAAAAGTGAGAACATCAAACAATTCTGAACAAAAAAAACCTTCTAAAACATCAAATAATTCTGAACAGAGGGAGTATGAAATAATGGAAAACTTGTAAATCCGAAATATTAATTTTATCGTGTATTAAAAAATAACACGATTTGAATGCATATTTTACATAAACACATATTTTGGTATGTATGACTATTAAATCGTGTATATATCTCACTTTCAAGTTTCAACCATATTTAGACCCCCAAAAAAAGTTTCAGCTAGGGGTGGGCACTTTGGTTTATTTTCGGGTTAGGTTTGAGTTTGGTTCAGTTTGGTTAATTCGGGTTCAATAAAATTCTAACCAAACTCAACTGAAATAAGTTTGGTTCGGTTTAAATTCGGTTTGGTTTAATTCGATTTGGTTTGAGTTTGGTTTAGTTCTAATTCAGTTTTAAAAAATTCAGTTTGAAGAAAAGAATAGTGAGTTGGTTTAGGTGAAATGTGACATTTCACCATATTTCAAAAAACTAATATTATGAACTAACTAAAAAGTTAAATAAAATAAATATATTAGTTTTTTGGTTTGGTTTGGTTTAAAACCAAACTGAACCGAACCTTTCAGGTTGTGAAAAACTTCAACCAAACAGGTTATATATTAAAAATGGATCGGTTCAGTTTGGTTTAAGTTCGGTTGGTTCAATTGGTTCAGTTCGGTTCGGTTTTTTTGCCCACCCCTGGTTTCAGCCATAAATGTGTACTAATCATACATTCGTCAACTGATTTATTTTCAACTGATTTATTTTCAACTGATTTATTTTCAACTGATATCTATTATATAAAGACTCAGTCTCACCAGCTTGACACAGCAGCATTCATTTTTTTGACACATCAGATTAAAAAAATTATGAGAAAATTAAACAATTAAATTATACTAATTTCGTTTTTAATTGAACACAAAAACCGAAAGAGAAGTACATATCAATTTATGGTTCATAATAAACTGCAAATTAATTTTATTTTAGAAATTGGAAAGATGGAATCTCAAACAATCTCCAATGCTTTCTAATATCGACTCAAAATTCCACAAGTCAATAGGTAAAATTTTTTATTCTTCGTCTCCTCTTTGATTTATGGGTTTTTGAAAACTGTATTATATTTCTTGTATTGAATTCATTCTGGTTTTGTTTACATAGACATTTATCCATTTATCCATTTTCTTTGTATAAAGGCATATCCACCGATGACAACCCTACCACCGGGACAAAGGGTTGAGACTTGAAGTGTCGGGCAGAAAGCAAAATACGATTTGGCAAAAATATTAAATTTGTCTTACAAAATACATATTTTTATCATTAAAAATTAACTAACAAACAAAAAAACAGGTTGAGAAAAATAATAATGAAGATATATTTGGTTAGGTGCAAAAATAAAAAGTATTACATCTACAAAAAATAATGACTACATTTTTACGAGTTCATATGATATTCATATTACCAAATACAAAAAATTAGATTAAACTTATAAAAAAATGTCTATTATTAAATTATATTAAAACAAAAAAATCACATTTAATGACTATATTTTTACAAATTTGGATGATATTTTATATTATCAAAAATAAAAATAGATTAATTTGTATAAAAATAGAATTTTATAATGTATATTAAAACAAACAAAACACCTGCGTGTACACGCGGGTATTCATCTAGTACATTTATAAAACGTTAGGCATTGATTTGACACAAGTATCAACATTATATGTTAGTGTTTGAAAACAAAAATAATTATGAGAAAAAAAAAATGGAATTTTGTTTTTTAATCTATAAGGATTTAAACGGATTTCATTTTCTTTTACACATCATCTAAAAAGGATTTTTTTTACAATAAAAGTAAATATTCTTAAAATGTCATTAAGCTTAGAAAACACCAAAAAAAATATAATTTTAACTCTAAAATTTGAAGAACATCAATAATTAGATTTCATCTTCCGGCCTAGCAAATAATGTAGGCCAAGAAAGGTAGGCCAAGTCATCACAGCCTTGGGAAGAATTGGCCATTCTGCAGATAGGCAATTGTCTAATCAATGGTGTATTTTTTTACTTTAAAATATCATATTACCCATATGATATATTTGTGAATCCATTTGCTAATCTATTTATGTATCATAGTAGATTCTACAATAAAGAAAATGATGTACACTATAAACAGAGGTCTCTTGTTATACTTTATTGTACTAGTCTTTCTTTATAATTTCTTATTATATAAAATAGCATAACGTCACTGAGTTGCAAATATTTACTTTCTCATAATTCTCCCCAAAAAAAAAGAGAAGTGCTTTTGATTTTTAGTCATCCGATCGTACGATCTCTAAGTTTTCTCAACTTGACTTCTTAAATTCACGAAGAAGTAGGTAGACCGATTAGAAACCAAATCTTTATCTCATCTCAGCTGATACAAAAGTTAACAATTCAAAATTTTGCTGATAGAGTACTTCCTTAAATATGTTACATGCCAAAAATTTTATTGGACCTGTTTAGGGCTGCGGATATCAAACCTATTTTAATATACATATAATAGCGATAACTTATGAATCAAATCTATAAAATATGATAAGAAATACTGCACAAGTTTTGTAAAAATTAAAGTTTGCAAGTAAAGTTTCATATCTAAAGCATTGATAATAAAAACAAAAAAGCAAGGCGGGAGTATTGATTCTTAATCCTCAAGTATTTTTCGCTCTTTCTCTGGAAAAAAAGAAAAACATTTAGAGCTAAACAGTTTTGACAAAGAGATAAGATGGTGTAGAGAATATTTTGTTACCGGTCTTTATGTTTGTGAATCTAATTCTCTTACTAAATCAAATATTTTCTGAAAGTTACAAACATTTTCGTTTTCTTTCGGAAAATTGACTTTGGTAATAAACCATCAAAGATACTTGTTCTCAATCATTTTCGATTATCGACCCTAGTACAACAAGATAACATCAAATTAAAACTCACTTTGCATAATATCAATAACTATTCGTTTGTTGAATTTGCAATGGTCTATATATTTAGCGTTTTCTGTAGGTTCTCAAGCAATCATATAAACATTTCGTTTATGCAGTATAACATGCCTACACAGGACATGTTGCAATCTATATATATAGTAAAACCAAGAAGCATCAAGAATAATGTATATTTATATATCCAAATGTGCCCAAAACAAAGTTGAAAAGAGAAACTAAACGAGCAAGAAGAAGAAGAGAAGTTTGCAACAACATCTTGTACGAACAAAGGTTTGGTCGTTGTCATTTGTTGGAGATGACTCTGCTCACCAGTTCTGCTTCCTTATCATCAGGTTCTTCAAAACAGAGCCGGACCCAGAGTTAACGGAAACAAAGCCATTTCTTCTGCAAAAATAAAACCTAATATCCGTGAGTAAACTACTTTTTATCAAGATTGGGTTTTAGGGTTTGCATCTGGAAAAAAAAAGGTACCTTTTCTCGTGGTGTTTGGGATTTACGGTTATTATGATGTTTGTTGTTCTGATGAGATTCATCGTTTATTTGAGGTGAAACAAGACTCTCAGGTCCTGCGACAGCGGTTTTCTTTGTCTTCTTGTCGTCACGAGCCTTGTTGAAAATGACTGTGAATCCTTCCGCAGAGGCTGGATTACTCGCGTCCCATTCCCCAAATTTTGGCAATTGTCTCCCTTTATTTCCCTACACAAACCCCAAAAGAATAAAGCATAAAAAGAAGAAGAAAAAACAGATTTGTTCATCTTCAAAATGCAGAATTCTGAAACTTTGACAATTGTGATAACCTCCGTATTATTGGCCAAAGTTTAAGACTTATTTCTATTTAAATAAAAGGATCAGAAAGATTGTATGAAAAGGAGGAAACTTTGTAATCATATCAACAAAATACAAGATGAATCAGAATTTGATACAAACAAAACTAAGATGTGAAATTGATTAAACAAGGAAATGGGTATTGTTCTTACCGTTGCCATTGTCGAAATTAAAACAGAGGATCTTGAATCTGATACGAGGAGATGCCAAAATCTAAAGAGAGACAGAGAATGATGATAATGATTATGATGAGGACGTCGATGATGATGATGATGAGGATGATGATGATCAGGGAAAAGAAGAGATGAGATTGTAATATAGAGGAGGAGAGAGGAGACCACGTCGTCGTTGAAAACAACAATAATCTCCTTTTTTCATACACCTTTCTCCTTCCCGCGGCTTTCCCAACAGAAATACCTAAAATAACTTAGTAAAAAATGAAGAAGAACAAAGACTAAAATGTGGAGCATGGCAAAATTTTCTTGCCTTTTCCACCTACCCTTATTCACCTATTCATCAATAATATTGGACCGATTCCAGCAGCCTTTCAAGAATATTTCGAATTTGTATGGTTGGCAGTATTATTTTACAGTTTTAGCAGAATTTTTATGTGGATTATATTCATTTGCTTTATAATCGATATTTTCTTGTAAATTTTTTGTTTACTAATTTGTTAATTGAGAAAATGATTCATTGGCATGATTTTTTTTGGCCAAACAATTAGTCTCTACATTGTTTTTATATATTATGGCACCAAAATAAGATACTAGTTATTAGTTAAGAGTCTGTAAGATCATTACGTAAAGTCTAAATATTTTTTATGTTATAGCCAGTTGTTAGAAGAAAAAGAATCATATATCTGCAAAAGTTAACATAGCTTTCAGATTAATCCGTGCTAAAGTTTTGACCTACTCTTTTTTAATTCTATGATCTAGTAAGCTGGCTAAGGTTTTGTCAGAAAGATTGTAAAATATATCCTACTTATGTTAGAGATGTCAAACGGATCAATCCGCGTTCAAATAACCCGTCCTGATGCGGATTTAATATTTTTTCGGGTCTGGCGGGTTGGTTCATCATAAACTGCGGTCCCAAATTGATGTGTCCAAGCCCAACCCGCCTATATTCTGCAGTTTTGCGGACTGGCCCGCGGATTCATACTTTCTTCTTCATCTTAAAGTTATTATGACATTTAGATTTATAGTACCAGAAAAACTGCAAGAAGAGAATAAAATTTTGCTCGTAACTGAATCACAATATGCATAAAAAATAAAACTAAAGAAAATTCTTGTCTAAGTAAATTCGATGAACAAACAAATGAATTCGATAAACCTCTTATACAAAACTCCTAACTCTAGGATACCATAAGATTTGAAAAATCAATTTAACGGTAAAAGTAGACATTTAGTTTTGAAAAGCAAATAAATGAATTACAAATGATGATACATATAAAACTGGTAATTTAAACTAAATAACCATCAAGATACAAGCAACAAGACATTCACATATATATATATAAAAAAATGAACAAAGCTTATTTGTTAGTCCAGCGTACAAATAATGTGATTTTCAAGCAAAACTATTTATTGTCAATTCAAGATTTAAGCGATTCTAAATTACCTTTGCATCGCTGCGGACAAAATAAAAACCACGTCCGTGATATAGTCGATGAGTAAAACCAACAAAAAAAACAAACTTATGACATTAAACTGAAATTAAAACTCTAAAAAAAAACTAGTTTTTAGCTGGGAAGACAATGACCAGATTTTCTCCCAAATTCAAAAATCCAATCACAGAATCTGAATCGAATCGAAAATCAAACACATACCAGTTTGATGATTTCTTGTCATTGAAATGAAGCTATCACAAAGCCTAATAGCTGAATTGTATGACTTCACTAGGCTTCGATTCACTCTATGAAACTACTATTTCGAAATCCACCAATCAAAAATGATAAAATATTTCACTTTTCGAAGTTTACAAGAAAACATCAAATTTTACGAGTTGGCTCACAAACCCGTAGATCCGCTTTGACCCGACCCGCAAAACCCCAACTTTCACGTGAGTTTAGACCGCAAAACATACTTTTTATTTGGACAAATTTTATGGAACCCAACTTGCACCATTGCGGTTTTACTTGGGCCGAACCTGCGGGTCATAACCCAAATTAACACCTTTAACTTATGTTGTGTGATGTTACGATATGGCGTTCTAGGATCGCAAATGGTTTGCGATCAAATAAATAAAATATTCTTTCCAAAAAAAAATCGTCACGTAATCTGTAATTTCTTAAGTATAAGAATGACACTTTTCAACATAAACAAAGACGCCAATGATGGTCAGATACTAACAGCGTAATTCAAGGCCTAAAAGCAAAGTCTTAAAGCAAAGTTCCGAAAGCAAAACTTTACAGACCCAGTAGAGAGAGACACGTATTAGACGATAAGCTAATTGGGTTTGTTTTTATAGGGCCATATTAAAATTTATTAAGAAGATGAATGCATAAAAATAGTTAAAAAAAATTGGAAATTACAAAATAAATAGCTATCAAATGATAAAGAAAATTTACAAATACAAATGAAACTTAATTAATAAGTGAAATTTTCATAAAGATATTCACGAGTATATTCACGAGCAATCAGGACTGCAGGAGGAGTTTCCGGGAGCTAATTGGCGGACAAGAACCCTTACGTAATGCTGATAACAAGAGTGGACTCAACATGCATTTAATTTCGGGATGATGCTGTGTGTTTCTCTTAATTTTTTATATTATCAAGTCGACTGATCATATAATCAGAAAATAAAATGATAAAGTATGGTTCATTATAAAAAAGACAAATAAAGTATGGTTCATTATAAAATAGACAATCAGATAAAATAGATAATGGTTAAATTGTATGGATTGGTTTTAATTTGTTGTGCTTCTATTATAAGACATTAGCTAAAGTTGGTTTCAGATCAGAAGAAGGATTAGCAACTTAACACGAATTGTTCTTAATTAACCAAAAAAATAAAGTTCATTAGTATAAATCAGGCTACGAAGAAGAGGATGAGAAGACCTAAAGGCTCCTCCGAATTCAGAAATTAGTTGTCGTGCTTCTAAAAGAAGAAATAATGATTATGTGTTTAATGGCGAAAGTTTTCTATGAAAATAAGTTAGGCAAACATTTGGTATTCTAAATAAGGTATATAAAAGTACTATTGATGACCCTATCAAGACCTAGAATTAAAAAAAAAAAAAAAGAGCAACAAATGCTGTAAAATATGAACACAATAACTACTGATGACCCCCTCGAGAATAAATAATGTAACACCACCAATGCCCGACCTCTCTAGATTTTTCCCTTTGACGTTGCTTATTAATTATTCTGATCTCTATCATTATCAGATTCAACTAACAACTTCAACTTGAAAATATTTTTTGTAACAACAAGATTTATGGGCTCGCATTTAATGTGTACACTGCATCGACACGTGTAGGTTATGAACCTTTATGGTCACTGAAGAGAAAAAGAATGGTCCAACATTTGTTTTTCTAATGATAATTATGATACCATTAGCTAAAAGAGAAACCTGTTGGAATTGCTTTCAGTACATTGATAATAACTAACCCTACTAACGTCAAGATATAAATGAAACTTACGTCTTATTATTATTATAATCATTGTCATGATACAACAATAGGTAGCTAACTTGACAAATAAAAAACGCCACATATCTGAGAAAATGAAATCATTAACTATTCGATTTGAAGTGTCGGTTTAGTATAGTACTTCCTCCGTTTGTTTCATAATAAGTGTTGTTTTAGATTTCATTTTTTGTTTCAAAAAGAGTATCATTCTGCATTTTCAATGTAATTTTGTTCTCTTATTTCTTGTTTTATCTCTCATTTAAAGATAATAGTCTTTGTAATTAAATGTTATAAAAATATATTAATTATATATTTATATATTTTATTAATTTCTTAATCTGTGTGAAATGTGTCAAAATGACACTTATTATGAAACGGGGGAGATAATATATTGGAAACAAGAAGAGGATTTATAAATAAAAAAATTAGTTAGATGCTACGAGGAATTAAATAGCTAATCTATATGATAAAAATGGCACAAAAGCCGAATTTGGATCCCTGTATTTAAGTGCATTTAAGAGACACCACCACCTAGTAGGCACCTACCAATAAATTACATTCGCATCATTAGTTTCACATCTTTCACAGGCACATTTCAACTATTTCATATAAATGGTGGTCGACTTTTCAAAAGATAAACAAACAGATTTATTCCTTCGGTTTCAGGTGTCATTTTTCTCTACTGAGGCTTACGTGAAATTACATTTCTAATTTTACGAACATTTAAAGATGGAAATTTCGAGAAATTTTCAAAAAATGTATTCTCGCAACATGTAGTGTGTTACATGGAAGTTTAATCGCCGGATTTCGTAGCTGCCGCGAGTGAATTCGTGAGAGGTGCCTTAAATATTTAATGACTAACTAGAAAACCCTCCACATCTAACTACATTAACCACTTCCATGGCTCACCTACTTCATTTTCTATTTACTTAGGTTTTTAATCTATATAATATATACTCTTTCCGTTTCACAAAAAGTGTCGTTTTAAGGTTTTATTTTTGTTTCACAAAGAATGTCGTTTTATATTTTCAATGCAGAATTTTAAACAATATTCTAGTTTTGACCCTATTAATTTAATGTATTAATCATAAAAAAAAGTTATTTAATGCATTAATGAAAAGCAAAGTAGTATTTTTAATAGTTTTCTTAATAAGTGTGAAAAATGTCAGAATAACATTCTTTGTGAAACTTTCACAGAGGAAGTATATATATATATATATATATTATTCGATTCGTTTTCCCATATGACTAAAATAATGCTATGGTATGCGACAAATATAAAATGTTATAACGTTTAATATAATCACTTAACTCGTGCTAACTGACCTGTTCGAACCTAAGTATAGTGTAACGATAGTTTCTAACAAAAACTATTGATAACGATATTCTTTGACCAAATGTGTAGTCTAATATTAGTTTGTATATATCCAACACAAAATTTCAATCATCTAATTTTCAAATACTTGTGGGGTTTTTTAACATATACAATTTTTGTTTTGTTGGTTACAAGTTTAGCATATGAATGTTTATCATCACTAATAACATACTACTATATTTAGAGAGTTGACATATTTTCATCGAAATAAATCCTCACAGGCAACAAAAAGTCAAAATCTTGAGTCAAAATCTCATCTAATTCATTAAACTATATACACAAAACTAATTTTTTTTTTTTTTCAGAAACGGTTTTCTTCTATTTTTTTTCCCACCAATATATAAACACGACCATTTCCATGTGAGCTTCAATTTCAAATCTCATTTCACAATGCCTTCCTCCATCTCTCTTATCCTCG